TGTCGCTCCCTCTCCAGCCATGCGGCTCCTTCAACATCCTCACCTTCCCTATGAAGGAACTGAACGGAGGGGAAACAAACCTGGTCCATGCCTTTGACCTCATCCAGAACTTTCAGGGCGACATCAACTTTTCTGACCTCAGCACTAGCTACAAACTGGCATGCGAACGCAAGGATTTGCAGTATCTTCCCGCCCCTTTTGGTCTGAAGGTTGAAGTCCCCAAGGAAACGACCATCCAAATCGTCATCATCAAAAACTCCGAGGGTGAAATCACTATCTTGAAGCATTTGGCCTTTCCGGGAAAAATCAAGGCAACCTTCTTCAAACAGCTCATCTACCGCAAGGTGTGTCACACCCGGGATTGTCGGACCACTCACCGAGGCAATTTTGCATACCATGACGGCGCCAAGGTGAACGTCGTCAACTTCTCTGAGCTTCAAAACTCCGGCATCTACATGGTGTCAAGCCAGTTTGGGTTCACCGTGAATTACCTCAAGCAGTCTTGGTGTAGATTCCTCCGGGGCAACCTGGCTCCTGGGCAAGAAGCCAGCGTAAGAAAGATGCTATCTGAGGAAAATTTGCTTCACACAAAGAGGTTGCAATCTCACCTCATGAGAGCTTTGGAAGCTTTCGCCCTACTACAACGAAGCCCGGAAGCAGTCCTATCCTTTCCAATTGACCGCCCCTCAGAAAGTATGAGGCTCTCGCAGGAACCCCTATTGTTTCCTCCTCCTGTGGTGGTGAAAGCGCTCTGCTTTGATGGCCACTTCGGAGTGCACAGGGCTCTCGATAAGGATCTGGAGGCTCCTCGCACAGTAGCTCTACGGGGTCGGCCACCGAAAAAGGGAAAGAGATATCAAAAGGAGGAGCGCACGTGTAGCTGTGTGGACAAAGAGCGCCAAAGGATCTTTTTGAAAAATCGAACTGCCGGATGGCAATTTGTGATTGATCCTGACTCTCGCCTTGTTGTAGCTGCGAAAGAGCACATTATCAATGAGTCCAATGCAGACAAGGCAGAGGTGGTGAGAACCGCAATGCAACTGCCCAAGGTGAACCCAGACCTTCTGATCCATGATGATGCATGTCATTTTGAGCAACGAGTAAAATCCGATAGCAGCCTCAAGAAAGCCTTCAAGCAAATCAAGCACTATGCCATTGATGAATTCCATCGGTGCAATCACAAGTGTGCCAAAAGGAACCTTACCAAGACGGAAAAGTCTCGACTCCGCAAGGTGCGAACCAACATGTCTGAGGTTTTCAACGCATGGATTCGCAGAAAGAACTTTGCCCTCAACTCCATGAATGCGACCAGCCATCGCTTCTGGGTGGAGGAGGCCATCAAGTTTTGGAACAACAACTTGAAAGAAATGCCGACCTACCAGACTCGACGCTCAACTACGGAATGCCGGAAAAGGCCGGCATCCAAAAAGTAGTGTAAAGAGATCATCTCTGTTGAGCCTGCGTGAGCACAAAAAAATGTATCTTGCACCTGTCAGCAAGTCATGCAGTTTCAAAAACTCATTCACCTGCATGTGTTTGCGTCGCAGTGCAAGGCTTGAAAAATGTCACTTCCAACGAATTGAAACAGCTAAAAATATTCCAGGACATCACAAAAATCCAAAATTCCAATTTTCCAAAATTCCAATTTTCCAAAAAAAACAAAAAAAACAAAAAAACCAATTGTGCCAGGACTTTGCCTCACCCCCTCTTCCCCCCATGGTCTGTGCAGAATTGGTTTTTTTGTTTTTTTTGTTTTTTTTTTGAAATTTGGAATTTTGGAAAATTGGAATTTTGGAAATTGCCTTGGGGGGAGGGGGGGGTTGAAGCAGAATAGGATTCTTTCAGTGGCGCAAAAATCAATAGAAACACAATACAAATATATATAGAAACAAAATACAAAGAAAATGAAACAATGCAAAAACGCGCCGCTCAGAGCGCTCCTTTCTGTTATACTTATATATATATATAATAGTAATTACTGTAGATAGATAGAAAAGTGAGCCCACTCTACAAGATTTGTCATACTATTTATGTATATAGATGTTTCAATGTTTCCATGGAATCCTGGAATTGGGTTTGCTGAATCAATTTGTCACAAAATTGAAGTCCTTCAAAACAATCTGTAACACATGTTGACAAGAAACGCTCGATGGGCTTTTCGCCACATAAACTCTCGCGAGCTGCCTTTGGACATGTGATAGCACATACGAACTTCAGCTGCCTGGGCAAGATCGGAATTCCATACTTTGACCATGGCGGCGACATGCACAAGGCACCAGGCAAATCAAAGTGACCTCGTCCTTCCAGTATATCAGTTGAGATCACGTGCTTCAAGACTTCAAAGGATTTGAAAAGGCTCAGTTTGGGTTCAAATTGTCAATCAATGGTTTGGAGGTAATGCTGACAAGTGTTTGTAAGAAGCTGCAATGATTTGCATACTCCAGCATGTCATGGTGTTGCTCCACTGCCAACACCTTTCCAGCAAGCTTATGGACATACTTCTAAACTGTTGTCCTTTACCATGCACATGTCCACCTTGGACCGTACTTTCCACAGTAGTAACTATAGTAGTTGCTAGAACCTATGCGGTCCATCTCAGTCCATGGTCACTAAGAAAGCCGAGAAAGCCTTGAGCCATCAGTCCCCACCATCCAGGGAATCCAACAAGTCTCAACCCTCTAGTCACCCCAGGGACCACGGAGCCCTGGTTTCTCACATCTCAAAGAATCTCTCACCAACCCGGAAGGTCCCAGACCCGCAGCTCCGACCCGCAGCTCTGCAGCAAACAAACAAACAAACGTTTGTGAGAACATACTGTAAATGCTTCTGACATCTTCTGACTTACTTCATCTTTAAACAGCGATTTACCACATAGGGTCACCTCACTGCTCATGTCCACTGGAAGACTTGAGCTGGGCACGGCCGTTATGGGCCGTTCTTTTTTCGCTTCCCTCCGCCGCCCAACCGCTCGTTCCTTCCCGCGGTGCGTTCCCAACCGCGCGCCCAACCGTCGTCTGAACCCTCTGGGGATCGTCACGTCTCCCATGAGCTGACCATTGGTCACGAAGTGATAGCGACCTCACGACTCACCGGGCTGGGCGAGTGAGGCGGCCGTTTGTGTCTTTGCTGACTTCGCGGACCTGCGAAAAGAAGGACGCCAAGCAATTGGGGGGGTGAGCAGGTTTTTCTGACTTTGGCACAAATCTTATCATATAATCCTGTCCACCTCTTAAAAAACACGCCGGCCCCCCCCCTATTAAGAGAAACTCGGTCGCATTTTTCTTAATAGGGGGTCCCTGAAATCGGGGGGCCAAATAGGGTCAGTGGAAGGATTGCGGAACTTTGTGGACCTTGAAGTGCAGATTTCGTGGCAGGCGCAGTACTTTGTTGACCTGGAAGTGCAGATTTCGCAGCAAGTGCAGCACTTGGTGGACCTTGAAGGGACCTGGCATCGCTACTAGGAGCAAGGACGCTACTAGGGGCTCCTGGCATCGCTACTAGGAGAGCCAGCGGAGAGTCAGCAATGCAACATGGTCGATTTGAGGGTGTATTGGAACCTATTTTGAGGGAGTTTGGGGAACCTAATTACAAAAAAAACTACCCCAAAAATCGACCATGTTGGTAGTTTAGTAGCGGTTTGAAAGGGCGGTAATTTAAACAACAAATATAAACCGAATTTAGGGCTTCGGACGTTGTGTTTGTTTAATTGGGGAGGCTTTTAATAGGTACTCGGGATTATATATATATATATGTTATCTCCATTCTGTCTGCAGAACGGGCAGCTGCTACTTTGCCTCAAAAAAGCTTCAGATGTCACAATACCCGAGGAAATCTTTAAGACATGTTAAGACTATCTTTAAGCATCTTTAAGCTATCAGTTACTTGCATGCATACACATGCTTTACCACGCGTAGTTTGCATCACGTGACATTGCAAAGCAATATGCCCTCAAGCTTTGTGTTGAAATTTGGCTTATGGAGACAACAAAGGCAAACCCTGGAGACCGTGGTTGACCACCAAATGATCAGAATGGACTACCAGGGATACGGTTTTGGGCTTGGGGCTCAGGTTTTGACCCATACCCGTTCGGCCGTTGCGGGGCACACATGGGCACCGTGCGGTTCTCGAATGATCTAAGCCGCTGGCCAAGCTCTGCGGTCGGTAGGTTCAATTGGAGCAAGACCTGCATGACTAACTCAATTTGATCCGGAATCATCCAGAGATGGTTATACACTCCCTGGAACTAACATGGAAGTGGAAATGGCCCCTTGGAAGACCCTGTTCCTCTACAACCAGGTGGCTTCCACTTCCATGTTCATTCCAGGGAGGGTAAATGATATCACTTGTCATAGACCCAGCCTCAAACTTGGAATATCTGATCCTTACTCTACAGAATGCTGTCACACAATGCACAGAATGCAGATCAAATCCGTTTGCCATCTTGGGTCATCGGATGGTCAAAGCTTCCAACATCGGATGGACTCTCCCGTTGGGCCCCAGATTCATCACCCTCACATGGCCTGATTTTTGAAGTCTGTGGTGGAGCTGTCTGCTTGAAGTCGCAATTGCCAAGTCCCTGTTGCACCAACCATCTTGACAGTAAGCTCGATCTCATCACCATCGCCCTCATCATCCTCATCCAACTCCTCTGACTCCTTCTTGGACAAGCTTCCACGCGCGAGGAATATTCTGCCATCCACCAAATGGATGAGAGTGGAATCCTCCAGCAACTTGCCACGCGTCACAAGCCTTTGTTCTTCAATGTCAATTCCGGTCTTTTGGGCTAAAGCACTCTTCAAATCTGCCACTGTTGCATCTTCTGACAAGTCCACTTCCACAGTGCTGGAGGCAATGGGTTGCACTAGGATGGTTGGCATTTTGGCCGCAACATGGCTCGGCTGTTTCGTGAAAAACCACAGACTGATACAGAATGTATGCAAATGACATTCTCCAGTGGGGGCACCAAGTCACCGCCCTTCGCTTGTTCAAAGGGAACAGTTTCAACTCAGAATCGTCTTAGAGTTGGTGACATCTTTGTGCAAACGGCTACTGCAAACAGGTTGGTTACATTCCCAGAAACCAAACAGGTCTGCTGGCACCGTCGACTGCTGGCATTCTGATGGCACTCCCTTTTGCCACAGAGCTCCAATGCCTTCGCAACAAGTGCAAGCCCACCTTGGAGGGAAAAAGAAGATTCAGATCAAGAGTAAAGGCGTTTGGACCCTTCAAAGATTGGGAATTGGGATGGGTCAAAACCTGGAGCCCTGGTCTGATCCATGACCCACAGCCGAGCTCAGCCGACATCTCTGGTGGCTTTGGCAAGTCATCTCGAAGAGCAATCCATTCAAAGACTCCCCATTCCCGATTGCCCCAACCCCGGTCCAACCCTTGGATTGGCGATCAAAGATCCTAGCCACTCATCCGTCCTGAGCACTGTGCCTCGGCGCTGCGGCGAACTTGGATGCCTTGGCACCGGAGTGCTGCGCCTCGGTCGGAAGGCTCAATAAAGAACGGTCGCGTTTGATCTCGGTCTCGGTTGGAGTCTGAGGCAGATTTTCGTCGAAGCAACACCAAGTAGATGCCACATCGAACGGGTAAACTCACTCTGGTTGGCTGCTTCCGTCGTGGAAAGCTGAAAGCACTGGTACTATTCCGCAGATGGTCCACTTATTGCCCTGGACTCCAACACGATCAGTATGCCAAATGCCTGGAAAGGTGAAGAAATCTCAGGCTATCCCAGCCCTGCATCCCAGGCCTGCTGTGGCAGCTGGCGGTTTCGCAAATTGCAGGTGACTTCCATCAAGGGCTGATGCTTCGAAGCTTCCAAAGCTGCCTTTTCAACGGGTGCAGGCAGATCGGATGCCGAGAGCTGCACAGCTCAACGGGAAACCCAGACGACAAAGCAAACAGGGCTCTGTTCGTGACGGAAAGAGTCTACCGCCTACCCAAAGAGTATTGAAAATAAGGAGGCCTCAAAGACCTTTGAGGACGAATCACCTAAAACCCAGTGGTTGGAGGCCCGGGCCTCCCGGCCTTCCTATTCCAACACAGGCCACTTTGATTATATAGATAAATCCAGGTGCAAACTCTCACAGAGCCTGCCAGCATTGCTCCAAAGCTACTCGCTTCCGATGCATCTTTCCTGCCTCGGAAACATGGGACACATCACACCCTATGGCCTCTGAGAGAGTGATTGGAGACGCTTCTATAGTCTATATATACAGTCTTTTATATAGGCTTGGAGGGTCCAAGCAAGTACCTGCTGAGAAGGTAATTATATATATATATAAGTATATGGATCCCTAGGGATAAGACTCTCCAGGATTTTTTTCTGCTGTTCGAGCGCACAAATGATTCGATTGAACTTTGCCAGTCCCAAAGCCGTCCTGTTGCGCTCTTGGCAACCCCATCCGAAAGGGCTTTCTATCAACATCACATGAGAGTTCTGCATGGAGAAGTCTTGATAGATTGAATTGAAATACTTTGAAGTAGTGTCAAATCCCTCCAAATAACAATCTCAGAATATCTCAGACTTTCAGCAAAAGTTGTCCTTTCAGTTCTCTCTCTCTCTATATATATATATATCACCCAACATGTGCAATGTTGCTGATATTCAACTATGCTGGGACCATGCTGCATACTATATAGGCCCCCAAAGATTACTGTAAATAGAACAGTAACCTCACTTTCCAAATGCATGGGACACTGTTTCTATCTATTGGGGGACCACTATACATGGGACTATATAGGTTGCAAGTATGGTTGCATCCCCTTCAAACCACACGCCTCATGTGCCGCAAAATCTGCAGCGGTGCGGGTGCTCACGTGGCACATCTCGCACCTCGTCGTTCCGGTCTCTCCGACGAGACGCTGTGGAGTCAAGCGAGGTCGCTGTGACGCACAGTCGGTCGCCGGAACTGGGAATTCAACCAACCAATTCAAACGACGAATTCTAAGTTGGTTGGTGTAATTAATGGTGCTTTTGGTCAAGTCCATCCTCTTAGATGTAGATTCTACAGCCTCGGGTCTCATCTCAATCCTGCAGTTCTGCGAAGCAATTCATGATGGAGTTGTATTCGGCCTATTTGGCTTATAATTCTTCCAACATTGTAAGTTCAAGAGGCATCTGGCCCCTGTGCATCCCTCGGCTCGGCTTGCCTGAAGTCGAAAGGATCTTGCTGTGGAAAGCAAGGACTGCAGCAATACCTCGGTGGCCCGTCACATGACCCGTTGGCCACCGCTGACAGTCTCCATTTCTATCATTTGTTTGCATCATTCTTCAAGAGGAAGGCGCTGACGACTGCTTGCTCATGGGAACCCGAATTCCAGGCACCCGCTGGGGTGCAAAGCCCCATGCCCTCACATGGGTTCAGATGCATTCAAAGTCGGACCACCAGCAGCCCCGACCTACCGAACAGTTGGACCCCACCAGACCTGCTCCACCGTCGCCTGGCGCCGCTCGGTTTGCACGCCCGCCCCCGCGGCCCCGCCAGCAGCCGGCCTCGGTAGTTTCACACACTGAGGGTCACACTTCCAGGCGGATGCGGCGGCATCCAGGGCTCGCCTGGAGGATCGAATGTTCATAGGAAGGTGAAAGGTGAACATGATCATCGAGAAGCTTGGAGATGAACATACTGATGTTCACCTTCTTCAGAAGTTGGAGAAGTGAAGTTTGGAGATGTTCACTCTTAGAGAACTTAAGATGTTTCAAAAGGCATTGGATGTTCACATATGGTTCACTCCGGGGAAAAAAACAAAACAACGATCTTCCAAACCCCGCAATATCTGACAAATATGGCCACAACATGGACAAGGCAAGAAAGAAGCATCGACTTGCCGGAGTGCCTGAAATGCTTGCTGTCTGCATGGGCATACAAGAAGATGACAGCATCGGTGGGCTTTACCGAAGCATCTGAGCGTTTGGAGATCAAGAGTACCACTCCCTGAAACCATCATGGAAGGGGAGCTTAGCGGATGACCAGCGAAATTCGTCTACAGCTTCCATGTGTCTGCTCAGCTTCCATGATTGTCTCAATCAGGGAGGGTATTGACAGGTCGATTTGAGTCGATCTGGTGGACATGTTGCGTCCACGGACGCGTCCGACGTGTCAACCATGTCCGACGGAGCCGAGCTTGAGCTTGTCATCCAACGACGACTCGGACTCTGTCACCCCCCAGGATGGGTGTCTCAAAGGGACTCCGACTCAACGACTCTGTGGGTGCAATTCGGAGCAAGTCATCTTTGAGAATATGGATTTCGGATGCTATCAATCATGAAAATCCCTGAACCTATAGCAGAGCCAAGCTGTACCTGAACCTTTCATGATGATGACCACAAAACACCTCGGCTCGCCTGCCCCACGACGGGTCCCCTGTCGACCGCCGGTCCATCGATACGGCCCAACGAACGCCCGAGCCGCCCCAAAACCGCCGCCTCGGTTCACATTGCAAGGGCCTCCATAGAGGGAGGGATACTCCGTGTACCTTCAGGGAAAAACAGCATCCAACCCCCGAAACAGTGAAAACACCAGTTAGGAGGAAGCGAGCGCTTCACCTGAGCAAGTGGCACAGGAGGTCTGATCTGCTCACTCTGGTCTGAAGGGCCCGCCAGGGCCCGCCAGGGGCCACCAGGGGCCAGGGCACTGCCAGGGCAAAGCTCCCAAAAAGGCCAGCTCGCCGCCAGCCCATTCGGGTAAGGCCTCGATCCACTCACCAACCCCCACCAGATGGTAATCAGTGGATCCACTCCCCGGTGGACCCATTCCAGTGAGGTTCTTGGTTCGGCCGACCGACCGGATCTGGCCGATGTACAGTGGATTCTTCTGCTTCGGAACAACCGCGGAAGGGCTTCTCTTAGAAGTCACAATACTATTAGTGAAGTATATATCATGTCTGTCTCATGTATCTGCAAGTCTCTCATCTACATTTCCACAACGTACAAAATAACCAAGGACGAAGAAAGAACATGAGTGGAAGGCAAGTGTGCACTGACTTGTCAAGTTCTCTCTCTCTCTCTCTTTCTGCCTCCAAACGCCACCAGGAATATGGATAGCAGTCCTGCTGACGGCGTCAAAGCCAGGCTATTGCGAAGCTACTCAAAAGCTTCATGCATGGCAGTATGGATGGCTCATGGCCTCATGGCTACTCCAAAAGCAGTGAAAAGCTCAATAACTACGCAAAAGAGCCGATCACTTCCTCCTACTTCGAATATCAATCTTCAGAATTCAAACAAAGGTACGGATACCGAGGAGGGTCTCAGCCCTAACGAAAGACGCCTGGAAGCGCCTTACGGAGACAGACGAGCACTGGGTCCCAACTTCGTTAACCATCCCATCCAGCTGCTGCTGGGTCCATCTTGGCATGACATGAAGGAACCTATTTGAAAACAATACAAGAACCAGAACAACGACAACAACAACAACAACACCATTACCACCACAACCACACGTAAACGTCCAAAGCCTCTACTTTTCATCCGCACGAAAACGCCGTCCACAGAAGACTGGCAATGGAGCCTTGCACAAGCTTTGGCTCATAAGACCCCGTGCGCGGATTTCCACCGTGAAAAGGTTGCAACTGGGCACGAAGCTGTTTCACAGACGCTTCCCAGTTCACTTCTATAAGGCCTGACCAAACATGCAGGGCCCGTGCAAAGCACTGACAATAGGCCCAACTGGTTCTGGCCATCATTTCACGCACAAAATCACGCCCACCCTGGGAATCAGTTGGAGCTAGCCACGCAGCTTTGCTGACGGGCAGGAAAATCACGTCCGGTCCCAGCTCGCGGGTCGAAAAGGCTCCCTCAGCCTCCTGCGGCGCCCGAGGAAAAGGAAAGAACACAGAAATCCGTGTGGGGGGAAGGTTGGCCTGAGCCCAGTCGCGCGCGGTCTTTTGTTGAGTCCTTTTTCGGTCCATGTCGATTTGGAGAGGGAAGCAGCTGCCATATTTCCTGCACCTGATCCGGATTAAAGGGTAACTCAGTGCTTGGTCAAAGGCTCTCCCAGTCGACTCGTTGCTCCCGGTTGCTCCCGGTTGCCTGAAGGTCAATCAGCACTGCCAAGCGGACTCGGCGAGCTTTCTGAAAGTGTAGTTTCAAGATGAGGAACAAGTCCATAATCTCGTCCAGTTCCTGGCAACATCCAGCTCCCTTTGAGCAATGTCGCGACTTGGAGAAGCGATACCTTCGACCTGGTGCCCTCAGGTCGATACCTGTGCCTGTGACATGTGATGGTCTAAATCCCACACGGATGGGCCTGGAATGATGCCTTTCATACCTTTTCCCTTGTCTGTCGAACCTGGTGAGGAACCTGGCGCCATGGCGACGACTTGAACCTCAAACGGTTTGGGGATCAAAACATCACAGCTAGTTGGGAACTACTTTCAGCCCAGCCAAATCCGGAGACTCCCCCAACAAAAACCTTAAAAGAACAATAGTGTAACAGCTGGTCTTGTGCAGATTCACTTAGGGTCACATGATGAATGCAAGCGATTGTTGGGACTCCCAGACAGTGCCCCCAACTGGAGTCCCATCCTGCCGCCGAACGGTGGAACGGCACCGAAACTCCACGAAGGGTGCTGCCATGGATGGTCCTCCAAATGGTTCATGGCCCGCAAAAATATCATGTCGCGCCCTGGCGGACGACCAAGCGGACGTGATATGATGAGATCACGCGATAATTTGTGCGCGTTATGTGTACTGGCAGGACATAGAGCGCACAACAGGGTCAAAAAAGACACATGTGTTGCGTTCTTCCAAGTTTCTTGCGAACACCCACATAATTACTAAATTGATCACTGCTATTTTTGACAGGCAGCCAAACTAGATAAATGATGAGAAATGCAGTGGAAATGGCACCGCTTCACAACAATACATCTTCACTCAGTATCAAAACACTCAATGTTTCAGTCCTGTCATGTCAGTGTCGTCTAAGGAGTCTCTGCACCTGCTGGAATTCGCAGAAAGCGCTCAATTCGGCGATCAAAGGCCAAGCGCACATTGATGTCTGTCACATCGTGGTGCCAAAAACTTCCTCCGGGAAACACGAGATGGGGATGGGTCAAAACCTGGAGCCCCAACACCACGTAGCGAACGACATCGAACGACCGACACCAGGTAACAGGTAGGTCAATCGGTCGGTGTCCTGGTACCATGACCCTCAGCCAGATCAAACACCATCCACTCGGATCACTTTTTTGCGTCCACTCGGACCACACAATAAACTCTCGACTCTGCCCTGTGCATCCACTCAGATTCTTGCACACATACACATACACAACGGAGGATTGATCATCCTTCCATAGAAGGGCCGAGCCCTCTGCTTGAATTCGCAGGGTTTGCTTCGGAACCCAGGGCTCAGGGCTTCAACATGTTTAAAAAATTCCCCACCCAATCCGCCGCAGCACAGATGCATCATTTTTCTGCTCAACCCTATCGAGATCTCGCATGCTGGTGCACATGTTCCTTGGCCTGCAGCTGGCGTTGTCAAATGGATGTCCTTTTCAACCGTTGATCTCGATCATATGAAATGGTCCCGTCACTTTGTTCCAGAAGATGCTGATGGCACTAAGAAACTCTCCTTCACCCAATGGACATTGGCACTTTGAAGGTATCGTTCAACAACCGTGCGCGTACTGTTCAGAAGCTTCGGGGTGACCCGCTGTGCCAAGCAGCTGGGTCGCCCGATAAAGTCCTCATCAGCTTGCGCGCTGAACACGAGCGGGTTCAGAACTGGGCCCCGTGCAGATCCACAAATCAGGTATACCACCGAAGTGGTGTAAGCTATGGTGTTTTGGTTGGAGCACATAGAAAAGCCGTCCGCCATGCGAGCCAGCCCTGCGTACTGCACAAGAAACTCAAAGCCGAGTTCACCAATCTTTTTGGCGTTGCGCTGTGACAGCCAAGCATCGCCATCATAGAGAGATCTCAGAAAAGAGTTGCTTGCAAGCAACACAGGCCAAGCCAGCCTCGTGAACATTTGGCGGCCAAACGCTGCCTTCAGTCTCAAAATGATATTGCGTCCACCTCGTATGGCCCCCCTTGGGCCACGTACCATTTGGGTACGTGGTTGTACTTGGCCAACCCATTCGCTCTTTTGCCAGTTTGTGTACCCATGGCCAATGGCCTCTCCTTCACTGAAGCGCGCCATATCAAGTAGAGCTTGGAGATGCAAACAAATCGGCCATCAACTGTCGTTTCAGGTTGTAGGTCCGAAAGTTTGGCTAGAAAACTTGCAACAAAAGCCTCTCAAGCTCCCAATTGCATTGTATGGAATGTGTCAAGCGTCCATAATTGGGCCAGCCTGGAGTATGTAGTATCGCCCCAAGTGGTGATGGATCAGTGTCATCAGCCCAAATCCCCAAAGTCAAAGATGTATCCAGCCACTTTGGCTGCAAGCTGTTGATCTCTTCAAAATCCCAGCCCCGTTTGCTTGCGGCGCGCAAGTGGCATATGCCTATATGTTTTGTTTGATTCTTTTCTTTCTTCATCACGTTCCTGTACCACCTTTCATCTTGCCAGAGCCCACCAACCGCGGCCAGTCTCCACTTAATGTGGATCAGACACATGAAACCGCCCCCGTCCGGCTGGACATTGCTGGACACTCTGCACTGCACAAACCAAGATGTCGTTGAAGACTTCTTCATTCTTTCCAAGTGTAAAGCACTTTGGGTAGGGCGGTCATCAAGAACAGTGATGTGAAAGTATGCCCATGGTAGTTGCAACACATCTTCAGCCATGGATGTGAAGTCTTTTTGCTGTTTGTTCGAACACTGCTCCCGAGGGCCGAGTGAAAGCTGCACACCAGATAAGGTGTGCACCCCTTCCCTCGTCTCCGTGAAAAATCATAGGACAGGTTTTTTAAGCTGTAGATTTCTCAGCCGTGCCTGTTCGAAGATTGGATACGATTCATGATGTCGTTCGATTCATGATGTCGTTTAAAGTTGCGCCAAAACGCAGTCAAGATGTCCTCCTCTCTTTTCCAATGAGACTTCTTCAGACCGACAACAAATGATTTCCGTTCATCAAGCATTGGGCCCAGCTTTGCAACAGCGAAGCCGGCACTGAGAAACCACACCTGGTCTCTAGATCCGTCGAGAGTTCATATTGATCAGCCAGCTGATCAGCCATGAGACGATGACAGTCTCTCTCCGCCTTTGCTTTCAGATCGGGCGGCTGGTTTCAGAAGACCACCCGACCTGGAAGCTGCGGCCTTCCCAACAGGAAGTGTCCATACACCTTAAACATTGTTTGTTAAAGTGATCATTGATCATTAGGAAGCCACCAAACTCCCCAAGTGGCATGTCCGTAAAGCCAAGATATCTCGTGCGATTGCTTGCGCCTGGGCAGCGTTCCGGCTGGCTTTGACCTGGTGGTCTTCTGGCAAAACCCTGGTTTTTGAATGGGAACCCTGGGCTTATACTCTCAAAGTGCAAAGAACCAGGTTTTCGGGTGAGACCCGACAAATTTCCAGGGTCTGGTCGTCCAGGGTAGCTGATGGTGTCGGGAGCCACGGCACAGGGAGGAATCTAAGACTCCCGGCACTTCCCCAGCGACCACGGAGCCGGACCCGTTCGCCCGTTGACCAGATTTATAGTCGAATTTGGGCGGTGGGAAACGGGGAGACCTTGGTTGACCCATCAAGATGAACAGAATGGACTAATTACCTGACATGGCAAATAACAGTGTTGAAGCTTCAGGTTTTGAGCTGCCGTGAAACGCATGACTCAAAGGGCTCTGTGATGCTCTGTGTCCTTGCCAATGCTTGGCCGAAGCAATTCGCTCACCAGGTCTGCTCTGAGTGTACTCGATGTCAAAGAAGTCTCGGAAGCCCGTCCTGCGTCTCGGATCTCAGGTCCGAGCAAGGTTTGGATTTACCAAACAGTTTACTCATCCAACCTTGTTGGTTTTGGTCCAAGTTCTTTTCAGTAAGTCTTATCTAATGATATCGTGTTTTTTGACCACTCGGACCCGTGACCCGCGCGATTATGCGGACTCGGTGCATGGCTCGTCACTAACCAATGTGAGTGTTGAGTCAGCGTATGTCGAGAGAAGAGCATGA